TGGATTTAAAGATAGCAAGAAACAAAGAGCTTTTTGACCAACAATGAAAACAAATCAACAATACAGACAGAGTTATGAGACCTTCTAAGTTACCACTGCAAGTACTCGATTCTGCAAAGCACTTCGGTATAAACAAGTCTTATTTTAAGCAAAAGGAGTCCTTCTGAACCTACTGGGAGCACAGACGTAGGAGACTACAGCCTCTGCTTCAATACCCGAATCAGCGCCTGAGCCATGCGCAAGGTAAGAGCCAGACCCGGAGCCAGAGGAAAGTTCTACGGGGTGTTTGGAAGAGGTTTGATATCTTTCCTAAAAGCTTAGACTAAGAACACAAGTGATTACTTATACGACACATTCTAACAGATGGGTCTCAAATTCATACCATAAACTCAATGCTGTAACGGGAAGAACTTTTCTGCCCAGAAAATCAAAATTCTGATTGCTTTAGTCTTGATATTAGCAGCTAGCACAGCTTTGGGAGATATTTCAGGAAGGGGCTGAGCAGTGTTGCTCCAGAGCTTCCCCAAGTACCCACCGCCAGCCCAGCAGCTCGGGGCATTTCTGACTTGAGTGGGCTGGCAGCTCCGTATCGGGAGCGGCAGGAGCCCCAGTGCCGCCAGATGGGGCTGCGAGCCCGAGCAGAGCAGGAATTAACCCAATTAGTGTGACCTAAGCAAGGCTGGGAGATGGCAGGAGCCACATTTTCACCAGCAGTAAGGGACAAAACCCCCGAAACGGCATAAATCAGTCTAACAGCATCACTGCCACTGTTTGTGTTCAGTGGGATGCATTCAAGCCAAGAGACGGGCTTTACAGGTCCCAGAATGAACTTATTTAGGCTCTTTGTGCTTCAAATACATCTTTGGACTTGCAAAAATGCAAATAGGGGTTCTGTTGTTGCTATAACCGCAGTTGCAGGCATGAATTTCTTACATTCTTCTTTTTCCAGGCATAGACAAAAATTGTCAAAGCTAACGGTTGTCTTGAAATTTACTATTTTATCTGGCAAGAGATTAAATTAGTAGGTTAATTTCAAAAAAAACCATGGGGGTGAGTTTTTTTGAGACAGCAAAGTCCAGGACTGCGACCAGGCAACAGCACAAAGTTCACTCCCCCGGCTGGTAGCAGAGATGTTCTCCGCTCGTTTTAGGGGCTCCGGGGTTACCTTCCGAGGCCTCACTGGGACAACGCTGCGAGACAGGAATTTGATCTTACGGCCTTTAATAGAAATATAGACACCGAGTTGGATGCAGGCCCTGGAGCCCAGCAAGGGCAGCGTTTTGCTTAGGAACAGGTTGCGGAGGCCACGTCTCCAGTTGGTCCCTCCAACACATCCCAGCTGCGTTGAGAAACGTAGCGGGAATCAGCTAAACAAAGGGAAAAACAGGGAAGGTGGGAGATGCCATTGGCATTGGCGCAGTCAGGCACCCACAGCACCTCGCCACGGCCTCGCCAAGGGTGGGCGCTGAGCTGCACATAGTGACTGAGCCCACCCCAGAGCTGCACCCGGGCCGCGGGGGGTCTGACCCACGTAACCCACAACGCCCCGTTGGGCAAGCTCAGGGGGAAAGTAATTAATGTCGTGGCGAAATTAACGCCAAATACTTCATACTCGAGGGGGAGGGTCTAAACCCGCGCGTGCAGGTAGTTATTATCTGCAGTGACAGAAACCAGTCGCGGACTGGGAGGGAAGGCCGCGGAAGGCGGGGGAGGAG